TGTTGTGTGTGTGTGTGTGTGTGTGTGTGTGTGTGTGTGTGTGTGTGTGTGTGTGTGTGTGTGTGTGTGTGTGTGTTTGTGTGTTTGTGTGTTTGTGTTTTTATGTTTGTGTTTTGTGTGTGCGTGTGTGCTGTGTGTGTGTGTGTGTGTGTGTGTGTGTGTGTGTGTGTGTGTGTGTGTGGGTGTGTGTGTGTGTGTGTGTGTGTTTGTGTTTGTGTTTTTATGTTTGTGTGTGTGTGTGTTTGTGTGTGTGTGTTTGTGTGTGTGTGTGTGTTTTTGTTTGTGTGTGTGTGTGTGTGTGTGTGTGTGTGTGTGTGTGTTTCTAGCCTTCAAATCAACTTGCTTTAAGAATGTGATTTTTTTTTTAGGTTTTGTCTTTATTTCCATTTTGTTGACATTTCCATGCATTATAAATATCTCTAAACTTTTTCCCTCTTGTATGAACTTCCTGTAAACTATTCCGTTTTTGTCTCGAGGACACGTTAAGCGTCTAAAGAGTTTTTTTATTGTTCATCACACATCCCTCCCGTCCTCAGTCCCTCAGTGTGATGATGACATCATCGTCCTGTCCCTTCCACAGCATCTCGCCCTCAAAGTCCACCATCTTGTGTTTGCGGCAGCGCAGCAGGATGCCCACCACCTTATCTGAGATCTTCACGTATCGGTCAAAGAGGCGCCCGAAGCTGATGACGGTCCTGCCCTCTTTGTCCTTGTAGTTCATGTCTCTGATGATCCACACCATCTCCTCCATCTCTCTGTGGATGTGCTTCTGGGCCCGGTCGCCCCTCTCCGCCGTCTTGGAGCCGTCTTTGGGTCGGCCGTAGCCCGACTCGCCTTTGCGTACGCGCTGAGCCATGGCGTATTCATGGTCGAATTCCTCGCTGAACGGGTTCAGCTTCTGGCCCTCGATGTGCTGCTGCGACCACTGCTGCCAGCGGCTCTTGATGTCATTGGTGGTGACGATCTTGACCTGAAAAGGAAAGACAAAAGGGCATGTTACCCTCAGAATAAAGTCAGAGTCTTTACAGTTCTACCAGGATTTTATCAAACCAGACCCTCTTTGAAAAGTCAAATCAAGTCTGACGAAACCATCAGATGTTCTCGAGGTTGTCCTGGACTTTTGGCCCAGACACCCACCAGAGAAAAATCTGCTTTCCACAGACGGAGCGTTTAGCGTTTCATGAGATACAGGTACTTTACTTTACTTTCAGTGAGGATGTTTCCATGGATTTCAGTATCCTGGGTTTGAACATATTTTTGTGTTTGTGCATGTAAACATCAGATCCTGACTTCAGAAAGCAGGATAAGCCCTTATCCGGATTTAGAGAAACCTGATTTTTTCCACCTGGAGAACTCTGAAAGAATTCAGGATTCTTTGTCATGTAAACGCCTTAACCCCGTTTTCTGACAGGTGCCGACCATCTGCACAGACGCCGCCTCAGCCAAGTGACTATACAGCACAACAAACATGGCGGCGGCAACGAGAGCGTCTTATTTCTGGAGCGAGGAAGAAAGTGACTTTTGTCTTTTTGCATCTGCAACCTGGTGGTGCGAAACCAAAAATAATCCACAGAGGTCTTGTGTTTCTCAGATTTCTAAATGTCTGCAGTTTGGGTTGTAAACATCACATGGCGTCTGCACCAATAAGACGCAGTGATCATGAAGCAGGATTTGAGTATTGAGCTTGTCTACAGGGAGATGAAGAACCATGTTTCTCTGAGTCCAGGTAAACACCAGATCCTGAAGATGATCAGAACCAGGACACTCGCTAGCTACTAGTGCTACTGCCATATTGTATATTTTGGAGCAACTGTAACGATCGAATTTCCCTCTGGGATTGATAAAGTATTTCTGATTCTGATTCTGTTTTTCTGCAGAATGCCGTAACTAACTTTCCTCTGCACAGACGACTGAAGTCACATGACTGATCACCTCCAACACACGAGGTCACGTTGAAGAGTCGGATGCAGATTCTTTTGGATTAATGACCCGCAATCTTTAAATAAACTCTTCTCTGCTCGGTGCACCTGATCCCCGTCTTGACCTTTTGCTATGCACCCGGAGACATTCCCCATAGAACCCGCTTTATGTTGCTCCCATGAAGCACCGACGTGCATGAAGGCTAGAGTTTAAGACCCCGCTGGAGGAACCCAGGAGGAGGATCTGTAGAGTTCCTCTTTAAGTGCACGCTTTGCTGCAGCTTTTATTTGATCCTCTTGCATCCTCTCTGTAAAGCCTCAATAATCAGTACCTACTCACTCCTCCTATACGACCTCGTCTCCTACCCTGACCCCTCCTCCTCGTCTCCTACCCTGACCCCTCCTCCCCCTCAGCTACCCTGACCCCCCTCCCCCTCACCTACCCTGACCCGCTCCCCCTCTCCTACCCTGACCCCCCTCCTCTCCTGCCCCCCCCCCCCCATACTTTCCGCAGCTTGCCACACCGACAGATCGGTGTCATCGTATCACTTTGGAATTCACACTTTAAAAAGTGAGGACATGTCACAGAGGGAGCGTCCACCAACCTCTGTGAACCCTTAATCACCTGATCAACGTCTTTCCTGTCCTATATCAAACCCACCCTGTTTATTTTGTATTTTTACATTAATGCAGTATGCTCATTTTTTTGATAATCACAGCGTTCTAATATCTGTCTTGACTGAGAGACTGGTCCTAAACTGGAAAAACAAAATCCTGTTTTTGCAGTGAAAAAAATCACTCATGTGACTTTGACTTCAAATTTATTCTATTTGTTCCGTCAGCACTCGTCCTCCTTTTTGTAAATATTTTTTTGTGTGACCTCTATGCCTTTTTCTTTCAGAGACAGGACAGTGGATAGGACAGAGAGAGTGGGGAATGGATTGCCGGAAAGAAGCCCAGGCCGGACCTGAACCGACTTAAGCCTCCGCACATGAGGCGCGCTCACTGACCACTAGGCCTCCGGCGCCCCCTCGTCTCCCTTTTTTTTAGGGAACAGATTCCATGAACTGCAGCTGAAGAGACAGATATTCACGTGTCCTGCATCCTGTAGCTGAGTGTTTGTATTGGTGTATTGTATATAGGTGAAATGTCACCTGTCACATGATCCAGCACACTCAAACACTCAATGCTTAGCATGTCGTTTTAAAATTTCTGCGCAAAATATCTAATTCAAGTTTATTATGAGCCACATACACCTAACGAGTTTGTATGCGCCTTCATGTGCTTCTGCAGCTAGCCTCTAGTGGACACTTGAGGAACTGCAGGATTGCTGCTCTTTGTTTTCCTGAGATCGGGTTTTCCTGAGATCGGGTTTTAAAGGTTGATGCACAGACTGACATGACACCACTCTCTGATGTGACAAATATTATTAAATTGGCTGATTAGTAAAACCACAATCAGGCCAGAAATAACTGTCATCCCTCCTTCTTCTTGAACATCACACAAACCCACACATGCACAAATAAATCACAGAATGGTCTGTCTCATATTTCTCCTAGCCCCCCCCCCCCACCCCCCCCCCCCCTGTGGTTCCACCTGAAGGTCAGGTTGGAGAACACGTTGCACCACAGCCTCTCTCTATATTTATTTATTTATTTATTCCATTGCTCTGCTGTCGCTCCAGCTTGTGTCTTTATGAGTGTGAACCCGTTCTCTCTCTGACGACCCCCCCTCGGCATTTTATAGCCCAGATTTTTACTGCTGATGTTACTCAAGCGCCCTATAGTTTGGTGTCCGGTTCCTGCAGGTGACATCAAAGGGACTTCTGCTTGTATATCGGAGCTGTGAGACCGTGAGACTGACACGCGTTCTCCTGTCCTGTGACGAGTTTGAATCCGGGACGAGTGGAAACATTTTGTGTGGTCGTAAGGAAAGAAAACAGAAACCTGTAAACGTCTGTCATGTCTATATAAAGAAGAATTAAAGAGCGGTTACACAAAGTTTATCTTCTGGAAGTTTAGGTCCTGATCGTCTGACTTGTTCCTGTCATCATCAACAATAACTCGACAGATCTCCTCTCATCGTTTACAGACGAAGAAGAAGTGTGAAAGCTTGACAGATTTGAAGCGTCAGTGATTGAACGACCTTTTCATGAGGACAAATTCATAAATTCTGCTCCCTCTCGTCGCCCCCCTCCCTCTTTGTTTTGTTCATTTAGTTATTTTTAAAAGTCAGTCTGTAAGGTCACATGGTGACATCTTAAAATCTAAATCTACATCCTAAATATCTCATTTCACAACAACCTCACTCAGCTGACAAACATCTTATTCCAAGACCGTACACGCACAAAAAATCAAAATCTTCTATGAATGCAGCGAGCAAAGTGTACTCGTTGAGTGTCTTGAAATGAGATCTCGATGTCTTAATTAATTAGTGCATTCTTAAACATGCAGTATGTAGCGTCCGCCACCAGGGGGCTCTTAATCAAAACAATTACAAAAGAGGACGTCGAGGCTGAGGGGATTTGGGATTCCTGTTTATCGTTCATAACGCGTAAAAAAGCAGAACTTCAACCTCTGAAATAGTCGCCAATATTTCAGCCAACAGATCAAACTATCGTCGTCGTAGTTCCGTCTCTTTGGACGATTATTTATCCACGACCTTTACATGAAATCGGCTACTTCGGTGTAGCAAATTATTTTTCCTTTCAAAGGTTGAAGCTAAAAAAAGATTCCTCCATCAGTTTTAATAACATCTGTGTGAGAGAAACTCTACCTTCGGCCGAGTTGTGTGTTTCTTTGGAAGGATGTCATTCTGCTCGCTCTTCGGCTCGTTGTCGCTAAGCCCCGCCTCCTCTCCGATCCCGCTGTCCTCCGTGTCGACGCTGCTGCTCCTCGAGCCGAGCTTCTTCTCCTGCAACATCAGCCTCCGGTCCTGGATGACTCCACCTCCTCCTCCTGCGTTCTGCAGCGCTCTCATTTGGCGCCGCCGTGTCGGTGACTCGTTGCCCAGGAACGGCTTGTTCTGCTCCGGACCGGATTCCATTTTCCCTTTGATTGCGCTGATCAAATCGCTGCTGCTGCACTCGCTGCGTTTAGGCTGGATGGACTTTGTCACCGTGCACGCTCTGATTTTACTCCCCCCGGCGTCGCTGCGATCGGCTACGACGACTCGCGGCGTCACCGTGAGTTTGACCACGTGGTTTTGTTGTTTTTCGTCCTCCTCTTCAACGGACGTCGGCATCCAGCCGCTCGGGATGGCGTCCTGCTTCTCCGAGTGGTCGGTGGCCCAGCCCTGCCAGCTCTTAGCCAAGTTAGCCACCATGGCGGCGCATTTTATCTTCCGAACGGCGCGTTTGAAAGCCTGAGGCTCCGGAGGGGGAACAGTGGAGGTTCCTCCGCTGCTCATGATGACGAGGCGCCGGGAGAGATGTCACCAGGAAGCTGATGTGTCCTTTGTTTTCCAAATGCAAGGCCGTGTTTTAGTCCTTTTTAAAAATGTCTTTGTCTGAAAATGTAGATGTTTAGGTGATTCAAAAAGAGAAAAGAAGTTTTCTGATTTAAATTAAAAGTGTGTCTTTAAGTTCCAGCTTGAATCTTAAACACTCCTCACATGCGATATCTTCCCAGATGATCTCGGGTGTAAAATCCGTCCGTCTCAATCCTTTATATCCGCGATGGATGTTCAGGGAAGCATCCGGAGCTCTGGTGGCCGTCAGTCGGTCAGTGGGTGAGCGTGTCGGTGTGAAGAGTGCGAGGACTTTATCTTTAATCCCTGCTGAAGCCCCTCTGGCTCCACGGCCGCCTTTAAATAGGGACGGGTCGTAAAGGAAGTGATGTCACAGAGAGTCCACGTGAGACAGGAACGTCTGGTGTCAACACTCGTCTCACGCACACACACACACACACACACACACACACACACACACACACACACACACACACACACACACACACACACAGGCTGACTGAGGAGTGGAATTTCTCTCAGTGGGACGGGGGGAACAGGTGTCCAGTGTTTTTAGCTCAGAGGTTTCTGCCCTGACACGCTGCCTTCAGCCTCTGAGTCAGCCTGCTTTAGGTGATAGATGTGTGTGTGTGTGTGTGTGTGCGTGTGTGTGTATGGGTGTTTGTGTGTGTATTTATAGGGATGTTTTCATGCAGATACAGTACTAGTTATGCTTTGATCATCTCAATCAGCTGTGTGAGACTCGATTTCAGAATTGTGGGTCACTCACAAAGCATCCGGAGTGACTGTGTCTGAATGTCTGTGTGTGTGTGTGTGCGTGTGTGTGAAAATATGTGAGGATTGGATTCTGGATTAAGGTTCAGTAAATGTATTCAAGTGTTTCCTTTCTTGTTCTGCACTTATCTGAAGTTTTTCCACCTCCGGCTTCATTCATCGATTATCTCTGAATTTTGTTTATTCGGGGTTTCGGCCTCTTGAGGTTTTCATTATGAGTCTAATTGTGTCTTTATTATAAGTCAGTTATTTCTGCTTTCAGGGACATGACTGCAGCACAAGTGGAAACAGTGTGAAGAAATTAAGTCTATCTGGGTCGTAAAATGAACCAAAAAACAACAAGAACAGAGATAGAAACAAAACCTTGGTGAGAAAACAACCCGAGCTCTGACGTAAATATGAGATGAAAAGTTGCGAGTATAAATTAAAAAGTAAATATGACGGGAGATAAAAAGTAAATATGATGGATTAAGAAGTCAAAGAACTGGTGATAAAAAGTCCAAACATGACACAAAGCGTTGACATTAAGAGAGACAGAAATGAAAAAAGAGCAAGAACACCAAAACATGTTGAGATAAAGTGTCAAAAAATGTGATATCAATATCAAAATTGCTTTAATATCCTTTCAGTTGGGGTGCTGGTACCATGGATGGTAGTGCACGCACCCCACGTAAAGAGGATGTGGTCCTAAGGGGGTGAGGACCAGGTTCAGGTCTGACCTGTGGCGCCTTTCCCGCATGTTGTTCCTCACTGTCTCTCTCCTCCTGATTTCTGACTCTCTCCACTGTCCTGTCTCTAAATAGAGACCCAAAAAGACCAAAAATCAAACCCTTAAAAACTAAAATCCTTTCAGTTAATGTGGTTTGTTGATTTGAGAGGCAGTAATCAGGCCGCTTTGGACGCCCGTCAGTTTGATATGAGAGCAGTTATCAGGTCAAACCAACAGGTGTTGCAGCGATGGAAGCGTGCAAGAGAACTGGTTCAGATAGAAGTGACTGTACCCGACCTAAAACCTGCTCAAACTAGGATCAATATTGGAGATGCTTTTGAAAAATGGAGAGAGATTAGAACACAGAAAATTTTACAGACCGATGCAGAGCTGGCTAAACACTGAAGCTTCAGTGTCCAACACATGGTTAACCTGTGTGAGCATCGACTCTAGAAAGGAGGGGGGGGGGGGGGGGGGGGGACAGCTCTCTACAATGTTTAGAATTTAGACTGCAATACCCATTTTAAACACTATGTGTCAGAGTTACATACTGCTCCTTTAAGATGGTACAAAAATACAAATTAAAAGCATGAAAAACTTTTTTTGAAATGCATTGTACAGTCAGAATGAAGGACAATGACATGAGAGGAAATAAATTGTGTGCTCCACTTCTTTTAAAAATATATTATTGTAATTGTTAAAACAGATCTAAGAGAATGTCTGCTAATGATGTTTGTCCCACGTTAGTCCTGATTTAGAGCAGACAGTGTGGGAGGATGTGGATGTGTGTAAATGTATTCTGCTCTGTTTGTTTGTGTCGATCTCTAATGACTCTGTTTGTGTTTGTAATGAACAAAAGGAACAAAGTGAAACCTCTAATGAACCTGTTTGTTTCTCACTGTTTATTCCCCAGTCATTTCCCCTCTTGTGGGTTGTTATGTAATAAACAGAGTGTGGTCCGAGTGTGTGTCTCATTAGTCACAACTCTGATCAGCACAGAGGGAGGTGTATTTAAAAGCAGCCCAGTGTCTGCTGATTGACGGGCAGAATGACGGGCTGAGAGATTTATCGTGAGATTAAATGATTAATGAGCTGTATCCAGGCATTAGTGATCATTAAAATAAATTAAATGAGTTGTTTCAACAAGGAAACCTGAAATACTTTCTTATTATTAATGCTGAAATCCTAATAAATATTCATCTCTGTGTAAAAGTCACCAGAGAAGAACCGAGCATCAGTTTGTTTTACTGGTCCATCCATCCGTCCATCCATCCGTCCAGACAACCATCTGTCCATCCATCCATCCATCCATCTATACGTCTATCCATCCATATATCCCACCGTCCATCCATCCATTGGTCCATCCGTCTGTTCATCCATATGTCCAACCTTCGATCCATCTGTCCATCCATCCATCCATCCATCCATCCATCCATCCATCCATCCAACCATGCATTCATCCATCCAGGGGGTAGTATGGCAACCTGTAAAAGGTGCATTGATGAGTTCACTGGTTCTTGCTTTCTGTCTCCAAGGCTGCAGACCTGCTGAGCAGGCAATGAGGAGATGAGACACACCTGCCCTGGGCCCGATGTGCCTCATGCTTACATCAGAGCAGCAGTCGGGAGACTCAGAGACTCCTCTGACCCACAAATCTTTGTTTTTTTTGTTTTTGTCTTTGGTTTACAGTACAACACATCTCCACACACCCACACCTTACACAACTGACTTTATAGATTCTTCAAATCTACATAAAAATAACCAAAAGAGCCAAAACACCCACCCAGCCGTATTATTTGTACAGTGCTTTACGAAAGAGCAGGTAGAAGGCCTTAGTTATGTTATAGACGAATAACGGGATAGTGGGGAGATGGGATAAGATGCAGGAAGGATTTCTCCTTTGTATTCCTCTTGTTCCTGTTCCTGTCACTTCTTTACTGCTGACGTGGAGGTCGGAGCAGGTCGTGCATGAACGAGGACGGCGGTGGTTGAAGGACGACACAGTCTGATGGTGGAGGCTGGGCGTCAGGGACGTCGGGTGGTGGTAGAGCCCGAACACCTCGCTGAAGGTTTGGGGAGCAACGTCTACTCGAGGGCCCGGTCTCGGCTCCTGGTCACTTGGTCCACATCCAGTTTTTTTTATAAACAATCTTTATCCGTATGACTTTGTCTGGATTTTATTCCTGAATTAAGACGTCACACGCTCGACCGCATAAACTAATGAGAGGTGGTAGTTTATTTATGTAAGAAACACACAGCAAGTTCTGTGCACCACCTTCATAATGAAGTATCTCTCTCTCTCTCTCTCTCCCCCCCTCTCTCTTCCTCTCTCTCTCTCTCTCTCTAACTCTCTCTCTCTCTCTTGCTCTCTCTCTCTCTCTCTCTCTCTCTCTCTCTCACTCAGAGCTGGCAGACAAAGCTTCATACGTGTTCTGAGTGTTTAAAATAACCCACCGGAGGCCGAACCGTCACCAGCTCAGGTTTCAAACCTGTGTGTGTGTGTGTGTGTGTGTGTGTGTGTGTGTGTGTGTGTGTGTGTGTGTGTGTGTGTGCTTAAGTTTTCCATCCTCACGCCAGCAGCTGCCTCACGTGCACACTCCCACGGCCCAGAAATAGACGTGCCTGGCAGTTGAAGCATTGAGAAAATTGTGAGGACTGAGTGTCATGATCAGAGTATTTAAACCTGATTTAATCAGAGCAAAAGTTATTTTTACATTTAATATGAACTTTGAGTCACTCGCTGAGTAACAATATAACGTGTTGATCCTGACGAACATGTGAAATATGTTTGATCACCTGCAGCACACTGCGTCTCTCAGGCTGGATACACACGGGACGATTTTCAAATCTTAACCGATTAAATAAAAACATGGAGGTTTATAACAGACACAAGATCTCACAGAATCTCACGTGATCAAACGGGACTTCAGAAGAAAACAAACAACGGACGTGGTCACTTCACGGTGATGCAACATCTGTTTGGTGACACTTCCGGTTGCTCGCTCTCATTGGCTGTTGCAGGTCTTCCATCAGAGGCAGCTCAATCTGGAATTCATTAAAATCAAACATGTTTGATATGGGGCTGTCGCCTCACAGTGAGGAGGTTCAGCGCTGTGATTGGCTGGTGTAGCCCCGCCTCTCGCCCAATGACAGCTGGGATCTGCTCCAAAATGATCGTATTGACGCCAAACACTTGAGGATCATTTGGACACTCGGTTGTGACACGCCGTGAAACAGGCCACGTCTCCCCCTGCATTGGGCCTTAAATCATCTGTCGCGTAGCCAGCCTTATGGTATTTCGTCTGTTGTATGAAGCTCTGACAAAGAAAAAAAAAGGTAACAGCAGGAAAAGTATTTATTGGATAAATAACGGGGCGCTGACAGCCAAGCGGTTTGGGCGCCCCCCATGTGTGGAGTCTGTTGTCTTGTTATCCTACATATTGGTTCTAACCCTAAC